AGAAGAGGTGTTTTTGTTATTATTAGAAGTAAATCCATAATCGGTGGTGGGAGAGCTTTGATTTGAGTATTTGCATGTGGATCAGTCATGTCCAGGTTATTTTCTCTCTCGTATCATCTTGAAGCTTCTCTACTGCACAGCAGGGAGAGAAAACAGTTTAACTCTGAGCTTTCCAGCCCTCTTCAGGCTTATTCTCTCAGAGCCGACAAAACTTACACGGTTTTCGGCACAATAGAAGGCTCAGGCCCTTCGTAGGGCTTTGATAGGAACAGGTTTTGCTCCCCAGCTGCAAACCTGCCCGTTTCTCTCCCTTTAAGGACCCCGCAGCTGCACGGCCCCGCTCTTTCGGCCGGCTTTGCTCACCACGCGCTGCGGAGCGGCGGCCGGCGCGATGCTGCGCGCTGCAGCCCCCCCTGCTGGCCGCGTCGCGTTACTGCAGGCCGAGCCGCCCGCGCCGCTGCAGGGAGGAACCCGTGCGAGAGCGCTTCGACTTCCTCGTCGGTTTTGCCCATAAGCGGCAGTGTTAGTGGACCATTAATTTGTTTTACTGCGTGCAATTAGTGAAAAGTGGATCTCGAGTGTGCGAAATGAGTCTTTGGGTTGGATTCGCGCCTCACCTGTTGACCCAAACGGGTCTTTCGTTTGGAAAACAAGGGTAAATGGGCTCCTCCTGATTGAGAGGAGGTCCCACGCTTTGCTTTTGACCTTACTGCAATGAAGTAAACCTGTCCTGCTCACAGAATGCAGCATAAACAAAGAGGAGTTATTTTCTGCACGTAGTTTTCCCCCCCCCACCCCCAAAGAAAACATTTATTAAGTGGGATAAACACTTCAAGATCTATAGATAAGGATTCTTTTTTGTGGCTTGTGAAGAGCGCTGCTGTTGTTGGTATGGTTGGGGAGGGGAGGAAGGCCACGTGTGCACACTCAGATGCATGCAGCTAAAAGAAACTTAGGATCTGAGTGCAGAAACTCTGCGTGTACCAAAACCCTCAGCTGTTGGTGTATTAATCACAGGGACAAATCACACAAATCCATATGGGTGCTTAGGAGCTGATGAAGCCTTTAAGGCATTCAAAAAAAGAAACCTCATGCATTTCCCAGCGCATAAATGTGTTTTAAAAGGTACGTAATTTATAATAGCAACGTTGACGGAGCTTTAACTACACTGCAAAAGCTAAACTGTAATATATTGGCGTGTGAGCTGTGCTTACTGTGTGGGTGCCTCTCTGTTGATGTGTTTCCATGTGATTCTCTGTAATTTCAGCGCTGATTGTAGTCAGGGATATTAAACCATAGTATTGATAATACTTTTACAGCTCTGCTTTGGGAAATGTGTTCCTGCTAAATTAGTCCCTGAAAATGTAGAGATATTAACAGCGCCGAGCATGGAGGCAGACGGGAGTTGGATCAGAGGCCTTTATTTTGTAGTGTGATGCTGAAGAGTCATTACTTTAAAGCAGGAACTTTGTTTCCTTGAATATTAAGTGGAGTTGGGGATTTTTACTTCCGCTTTGGTGTGAAATTCCTCATCATAAAGTGTAACTGGAGCCCGCTGGGTATTGATTTTTCTTGGGCTCTGAAAAGATGCTTAATGAAACCCTGGGTACCTAAAGGCCTCCAGTGCATGCCAAGTGAGCTTAATTGTTCCCTTAACAAGCTACTGGAGATGCTCCCCTTTCTACAAAGCAGCCCTTTCACCTATTTAAGTCCCTTTTCTTTCTGTCTGTCTTGATGCTTTAATTCACTTTTTGAATATATACCAAGGACAAAGTACAGCTTAAAGAATCACAGAATGGCCTGGGTTGAAAAGGACCACAGTGATCATTTAGTTCCAACCCCCTGCTGTGTGCAGGTCGCCAACCAGCAGCCCAGGCTGCCCAGAGCCACATCCAGCCTGGCCTTGAATGCCTGCAGGGATGGGGCATCCACAGCCTCCTTGGGCAACCTGTGCCAGTGCCTCACCACCCTCTGGGGGAAAAACTTCCTCCTAAGAGCTGTCTGCCAGCTCCCAGCCCTGCTCTACTAGAGCTGCAGGACTCGTTTCCAGCACCACGAGCACAAAGTGCAGCTCAGATGGCCCTTCCTTGCAGCCAGCAGCACTTGTGCTGCTTCCTAATTGAGTTCTTTGCGTTCCCTTCTTGCTAATATCTTTGCTTGACCTTCCAGCAGACGACCTGCTGACCTCCAAGCAGGCCCTGCTCAGTGCCCACCAGCACGGATGCATGGGCCTGGCATCCCAACCCTGGGGACACGATTTGTCCCTCTGCAGTTTGCCCAGTAGAGGCACACGAAAAACATCTGTGTTAATTACACACAGTGCCTTCAAGCCTCTCTTTCTGCTGCTGTGCAAGAAGCTGTTTCCACAGAAAACATCAGGCAGCTGAATGATGGCTTTCCTCCCTTCCCCTTTTCTCCCTTCCCCGTCTTTTCTATGTTCCTATGTTCCATGACAATCACAAAGCAAGAAAAGGCACTGAGCACACTCAGGGGTAGCCAAGCAGTGCCAGGGGACCCCAGGATGAGGTGTAAGCCCAAGGAACCTCTCACTCTTCCCCCTTAGAGTCAGTCTTGCAGTCGTTCATGCTCCAAAGCACGATGAGTTGGGGGGGTTTTGCTGAGGATCTGAGTGGGAAGATAGAGCAGCTCTGCGTCAGGTGCAGGGTAATTATTTGCTGGAGTTCTGTGCTATTTGGTTTTTATTCCCCGTGTTTTCATTAAAAGCTAATGAGTTTTTTCTTTTTTTCCCCTCTGTTCAAAACAATAGCTTGGCCCCTGACAAGTTGTGGGTTATTTTTTCTGCTTGGACTCAACTAGCTGTTGCTGCTCCATAAACTTAATGGAAAAGGAGATGAAAGCACGAAAGTTTGTAAAACAAATCCTTGTTCCCTTCCTTTGTAACTCGCACCGAGTGGCTGCGTGCAGAGCATTTGTTGATTTTTGGTGTTGCAGCTCTAAAGCAGTTTAAAAATATTCCTAATGCTAAAGCAAACAGAATGCCTTTGTGTTGCAGTAGCTCATGGTTTGGAGCCCTGCTGGGCTTGGCACTGCCTTGTATGTACATTCTGCAGCCTCTGCATTCTTGAGTGGGTTACTGCAATGTGTGAGAGCCTGGTGTGCACTCCTGTATGCAGGAAGTGAGCCTGCTGCAAGGAAGAGCATATCCTATCAGTGGTGACAAGCCCTCCTCTGTGTTATTTCACATCTGGGAAACGTTCTGCCTTAACAGAGACCTGTGGCTTGACTCTTGCACGGGGTTTATGCATGCAACAGCTACTCCTGATGTTCAAGGCAGTGACTTATTCTTGCAAGTAACTTTGCTGCCCAGGTCCTTGTTCCAAGCAATGCACTGCAGCCACGCTTCGATGCATGAGCTGCTCCTCCCCAGAGTGGCTGCACGGTGCTGTGCTGCCTCCTGCTACTCAGAAACCATAAACAGTTTGCTCGTTATCACAATAATGCTGCACCTGTATCTCGTTATAGGGGAACACCTGTTACCTCAGTGTTGGCTTGAAAAGCCTGGAGCACTACAGTGCAGTTTGCTTGGTTCTTGTAAGGGATTAAGGCTGAGTGGGTTTGCAGGAGCTGTCTTGCAATGCTGCTATTGTTGCAGTGCTGCAAATAATCAGGCCTACAACACTGCAGCATGGCAGGTAGGAAGGCTGCTCATTAGAATGCATGCGTGTAGTGCAAGAATGGAAGATCTCTGCAGTACGGCTCCCACTTGTGTGTGATCATGCAGCAGGAATTGCAGCCTGCCCTTTGGCATTGGGGACCTGCAGCTTTTTCTTCTTGGTGTGACAAGAGGTGAGATGCAGATACTGAATGATGCACTTTCCAAAAGTTATTTTCATAGAATCCTAGAATGGCCTGGGTTGAAAAGGACCACGATGATCATCTGGTTCCAACCCCCTGCTGTGTGCAGGTCACCAACCAGCAGCCCAGGCTGCCCAGAGCCACATCCAGCCTGGCCTTGAATGCCTGCAGGGATGGGGCATCTACAGCCTCCTTGGGCAACCTGTGCCAGTGCATCACCACCCTCTGTATGAAGAACTTCCTCCTAATATCCAACCTAAACCTCCCTATTTTCTGAATATATATATTTTTTTCCTTAATCAGGCTGCGTGCTGGGATGGCTGCTGGAAGCAAATAAGCACAGAGCTGGAAAGAGTGCTGCTTCCTCAGTGCATTTCTTGGTGAAGGGAGGAGGACACCCTCTTGTTCCAGCCCTTCATTACCTTTTCATTAGTGCTTGACTCAAACTGCAGGGCACTGTTTCTGTGTTTGCTAAGATAAACCTTGTTTGGAACTTAGATTTTTTTTTTTTCCTGTTTGAATGCAATTAACATCAGCTGAAAACTCACCTTTGGTGCTGTTTGCTGTGTGCTGAATGAGGAGCCAGCTGTCTTTACTTCCGTTATCAGCAGTCTGGGCTGTGTGTATTCAGGAAAACAAAAAAAAAAAGGCAAAAAAAGTTGAAAGATGGCTTTTTTTTTTTGCTTTGTTTGAGCTCAGCAGTCTTTTGTCCTCCATGCAGCCTACATGTGCTCCACTTACATTAAAGTTTCATGTTAACATCTTTTCCTGTTGTAACTGAGTGCTTTCTGCATAAAACCCAGCGTGGGTAACAATACAGGATTCCTCATTGTAGTGAAAGAGGTGATAGGGTTCCATGATCTCCTTTTTACAGGTGGATGCTGAGTGCAAGAGCATTGAATGGCACAGGCCTTGGGGCCAGGCTGCCAGAAGCTTAGCTTTCCAACCTCATCCTTGTGTGCCCTCCAACTCTGGACATACACAGCATGGGTTCTATTGCAGCACAAATAAGCTGCTTTGGCCTTGAATGCTTCATCCAGCTTTATTACCCACCAAAGTGAGTTTGGGGTTGGTCAAGGACCTCAGTGGAAGGTTGGAAATGGGAAGAAACCCTTCTCAGTGTAGGAAATACGATTCGGATTTGGCAGTATCTTCACTAAAACGAAACTCTGCTCTCTTTCCAGGAGAGAATCAGCACGATGCTGGCTTTGGGCAGGACAGTTCTGATGAAAATCAGAGCTGGAGTTTGGCCCCTTCCGTGACATCTGAAGTCTCACTGCCATTGGACCTGCAGGATGATGGTAAGTCACTGCTAGCCCTTAAAAGTCATGTGAAGAAGGTGGAAATGGTGTGACTCGTATCTCATCCATCTGATAACACTGGAGGTGTTGGTTTTTATTGCCTGATGCCTGTTTTATCAATGCTGAGAAAACTTTACAGCAATCCTGAATTGAATGCAGCATTGCTGAAGCTCAGGGCATTCTGTGATCATCCTGGAGCAAATTGGAATTGGTTCTTCTGTGTTTTGTATGGGCAACAGTGATGGGAAAGAGCAGAAATTTGACAAGTGGTGGTGTTTTCCAAAATTAAAACACAACTTCTGGTTGCTTTTCTTCTTGGATGCTCATCCTTATGCTTCAGAGGGGTCATGTTGTTTTTCCATAGCTTCTTTCTTTCCATCTTATGAAAATTAGGCTCATTTCATAGAATCATAGAATGGCTTGGGTTGGAAGGGACCTCTAGGATCATCAAGCTCCAACCCCCCTGCTGCATGCAGGGCCACCAAACTCCATATCTTATACTAGACCTATATGCACTCTATATACAGCTCATAGATCAAACACCTTGATAGAGGTCATCTGAAAGATTTTGTTTTAATTTCATCACATTCCTACTAAAAATACTGAATCCATCTCTTCTCTATTTGAGATATAATAGAGATATTTGAGATATAACAGAAATAATAATCTCAAATAGAGATGATGAGAGATGATTTAAATCATCTCTGTTTGAAAAGCCTTTTTTGGGTCCTTCTAGTGGTTGGGAGTTTGGAGCTCTGTCTTCCCAATAGCACAGAAGCTCTCCCACCTGAGCAGGGGAGGTGAGCTGGCATGCTGAGACCAAGGGAATATTCCAGAGCATTCAGTGCCAGACAGAGGTTTCCTGAGCAAAGAGTTGCTGTGATGTTCTCCTCTGCTTGCGAGCAATGCTTTAGGGCTGATGGATTTGTGCTCTGCTATTGAAATTGGAGCCTACAGAGTGGAGACAGTTCTGTCTTCTCTGGGGTTATCTGTGGGCCCCAGTGAAGGCTTGTTTGCTTTGGTCTCAGGTTCTCAATCTCCTCCTTCCTACAGATCTTGTTTCCTCCTCCTCTTTCACTTCCCGTGCACTTTCCCCAATGCTCTCTTACTCCCCACTCCTCATCCTTTTTCCCTTTCATTTTCTCTGCTTCTTTCCCTATTCCTCTCCACCTCTTCCTGCTCCTATTTATTCTTTCACATCCACTCCCACCCTCGTTAGTGAATTGGTAGTCATCAATCAAGAGCACAGAGCAATGAGGATTTATTTGGGATGAGGCCATAAGAGCTGATGGGCACCAAATTTAGTTTCCTTGTGCTGTACAAAGCACCAGGCTTATCTGTCACAAGAATTGATTCATGCTATTAAAAATGGCTTCATCGAGACCGATTAGAGACAAGGTTGGTCTGATAGTTGGGAAAAGAGGTGTGGAATTTGGGTTCAGCTCCTTGAAGGCATCAGAAATGATGCAGCGTGCCGATGGAGAGCGTGAGATAGGGATAATGAACGTTGGGGCTAATTGGGGCATGAAAGGGTGCTGAGGAGCTCAGCCTCATCAGGTGAGCAATGTCTTCACGAAGTCTAGGCTTTCTCCTGGCATGTTTATTAAGCTTGTCTGAGAAGGTATTTGCTTTGCTAACTTGGAGCGGTGGTTTTTGGCAGCCCGAAGGGGCAGAGTTTGACATAACACTTGTGAGGTATGCAAACACTTGGCACCCCTGGATATCTTCAGATGAGATGCCAGGCTCGATGGAAGGCCGCCCAAGTGGGGGTGAATGGCCAGGAGGAGGTGGATAACAGAGAGAAAAATCGCATGCAACAAAAAGAAAGGGGGGAAGAAACTGGCTTTGAGTGCGGTTGCATTGAAATGAGGTGTTGGCTCCTGGGAGTTGATAAAAGCACTGAATGTCAGCGAATTATGGGCCTTGTGTGTGTTCATTCTAGATGAAAGTTGGACAGTTTTGGCTGATTGGATTCAGACTGTTGGCAGTCTGGAACAGTAAGGCTGAAGGAAAAGAAAAGCTAAATTCTGGGTGATCTTTCATGGTCCATCCCAACCCAAGCTATTGTATGAACTCCTCAATGTTATTAATTCAAAGCTTCAGTGGAAACAGAGCCCTCTAACTGGGCTGATGCTCTTTGCTGCAAAAAACAGGGGAGTTTGGGGGCAGCAAAGCCGCCACTGTTCACTTTCATTCTGCACAGACTTCTTCCTTGCTCTGAACTCGTGTTGGGAATCAGAGATCCTTTCAAGCTGTCTCTGGAGGGAGCAAGAGGGGCTGTGCGAGTTGGGGATGACTTTACTCAATGAGGCATGGCCCTGCTCTGTAGGATTGTCCCTAATGAGTGATTAAGAAGCTAATGTTTGTACAGTGCTGGGAGGCTGCGAAGCTCAAAGCAGAAGCACAAAGTACTGCCATAATGAGAAGTATTTCTGATGAGACACTTCCCACGTAATGTACTCTGCTCAGACCACGGCGGACTTTTCAGAAAATATTTTCTTTTAAATGGATAGATTGCTCAGTCTGCCAGTGCTCTGTGATTTAGTTTTCCTGAGCGTAAGGTATCGCTTCCTCAGGGGCTGGAGAAGGCTGCAGCTTTAACATTTAGCACTTTTAGATATTGCTTTATCGGTTTTGTTTGTTTGTTCTCTTCTTTTTTTCTTCCTTTTTTTCTTCCCCTTGGCTCTTCAGCAGCGCTGCTCCCATCATAACAAAGCCAGTGATGCCTTACTGCAGGGACACTGAGGCAGCAGCAAAATGACTCACCCCATGTCAGAGCATCACATGGAGCTGGGGGTTGTGGCCGCTGCAGCCCCTGTGCTGCTGGTGTCACCAGGAGAGGAGCAACCATATATTGGCATAACAGAGGTGCATGTTAGGAAGGGAGCATAACTCACAGTGACAGGAGTGTGCTTTACGGGTTCTGTTAGGCATGGTTTCCGTGGTAAGAAATCTCAGTTCTGACTTGCAAGATTTTTTCCATCGTGTCTGTGGGCAGACAAACAGCTCAACCAGTTCTGTGCGTGTTTTTAAAATGTCGAAGTTCTGAAAATCAAATCCTTTGGCAAAGATGCCCTTTGCTTCATAAAGACCTGCTTAAAAAATAGCTTCTGTCTTAACAGCTGTGGAGGGCAGTTGGTGAGATGGTCCATCACTGCGCCCCAGTGGCTTGGGGAAGAGGGGGCCAAGATAAAATGGAATGTGATACTGAACGTTTGGGGGAGCGGGGGAGTGGGTGTGAAACTGTGAAGAGGTGATGCATTCTTTGATTTACTTCTTAAGCCTGTTTGCATCCTGGAGAGGCACTATTTGCTCCTGCTTGGCCTTCTGTTACACGTGAGTGGGTAGGGAAAATCCTGCAGCGAGTTTTCTGCTCTCTGCAAGAAGAGCTTGACAAGCCAGCCTGGAAATGCAGGGGATGAGGCTGCAAAGCTCTCTTGGAAGTTGCTGCCTTGTCCCTGCTGGCCTCCACGCATCCCCTGCTCGCACCAAGCGTTTGCCTTCGGGTGTCATGTTTTCCTTTGATGCACTCAGCAGCACCGCACCGTTCTCTCCAAAGCATTCAATGCTCTGAACCGTGCGTGCTCCCCGGCTTCCAGACAATCCGTGCGCATGCAGCTACGCCTTCTGCTTTTAATTCCCCCCCGTCTTTCCTACGTGTTTCTGTTGGGGGCTGTAGGGACAGCGATCCCAACCTCGGGGTCCGCCGCCCACCCCGCCTGCAGGGCGCTCGCTGTCGGCTGGCGGAGTTCCGCAGCGCCCCCTGGTGGCGCGGAGGGGAAGTGCCGTCCAGGCGAGGGTTGGACGTGCGGTCGGTCGGTCTGTCGCGATGTTGGTTTTTTCTTTTTTTTTTGGTTTTCGTTTGAACCTTGACTTTGAAATAAACGGCTGTCTGGAAAGAAACGAGCAAATAAAACAGGTTGTTTTGCTAAATTTCTTTTTACCGTCGTGGGAGCGCGAGCAGCGGGTTTTGGCAGCACGGCGTGGGCTGAGCGACACCCTTGGGTTGTCTCAAAAATGGCACAGTTTTGTTTTTTTTCCAAAGCCGAAGTGGAAATTGTGGGTTTTCTTCCCCAAGCTGCAGTGCTGGGGAGGCACAGGGCGGCCACATGTGTGGGCAGCAGGCTCAGGGCTGGCAAAGCACAGGCAGCTCGAGCCACAGCCCAGCAAGCTGCCAGCCCCAATGCTGCTGAAGTTTGGGTATGATTTCCCTTAAAAACTGCATGAAATAAAAAGCAGACTAAGAACCTGACTGTTGCAGAAATTCTGAGTGTCTGCAGGTTCAATAGCCTGTATGGATCAAACCCGGAATGTCCACAAATGAGTGCCTTTTACAGGTTGAAAGCTTTATATATATATATATATTTTTCTTTTAAAATCCCATTAGAGGCAATTATCTCTGTCTCCCCAATGTCCAGACATGTCCTTTGTTGCTTCTGACTGTGTTGTTATAAACTTGCTGTTGATGTACTTGATGAAACAGCAAAAGAAACACTTTGGAAATGGTCTGACAGGCATCCCTTGTGGCTCCTTTCCTTGGGCCAAGGCTTAAAGCATAGCTGGGTCACAGTTTTGCAGGACATCAGTTCTGTACCAGGACTGTCTGTAGGTCTGGATGGGAGTTTTGCTGAAGAGAGGAGAACATGGAAAAATCCATGGAATGAATGAGTTTCTCGGGAATGATACTGATGCTGTGTGATAGAAAGAAATTGGGCTTCCTTAAAGCTCCCATTCTTTGAATTATGGTTTTCTGAATGCATCATAAGATCTGTACTTTTCAAACCCAGTGTGATGGCGTCTCTGGCACTGTGCACATCAGCCCTCAGAATGGTGCTGTGGTCAAAAGCTTTGGCTGTGTTTTATGCAGAGCAGCTCTGCTCACCTCTGTGCGAAGGGTTATTGCTGTGAGGTGGAGAGGAGGAAGGTGGGCTGCCAAAATAACTGTATTGTGCAGGAGAGCTCAGGCCTTTGGAGCAAATGGGCAGAGGTAAGAGGAATGC